CAAAAGTTAGTAGAAACCATACCCATTGAACCACTAGTGTATGTTCTTACAAGACATATTCCATAAAACAAGGCGACCTTTCCTTTACAAAGAATTATCAAAAAAATATTTCATTTTCAAAGACTCCTCCTTGATATTTTTCTTGGATACTCCCAAATAAGCCCTTAGAACTTCAAAATTTACCTTAGGAAGAGCTATGATCATTATGTTTGCAATCTACTTATCTAAGCTGCAATGAACAAGTGTAACTTCCCCATCCTTCTCTGCTTGCCTGAATAGAATGAAACTGCACTTTTACATGCACCATAATTTGAGTTTAGATGTTGTCATTCTTAATGACTATAGATTCAATAAGATTTTTCTCCAGATCACTCGGAATCTTAACCATAGAACTTGATTAGTTGCACCAGCAACGGGAATATGTTTTGCTTTCACATAAGATTGAACAACCACTTCTTTCTTCTTTGCAAAAGCATATAATCAAGATTCATTCCCAATCACTTCCTGAATAACCCATCAATTTCCCTTGCTTTTCCTTTTTAAATCAAATACCATAATCAACAGTTCCTTTGATATATCTCAATGTTCATTTAGCAACACCAAAATGATCTATCATAATCCTCAATAGAAGACTTGTCGCGAATATGAGATCAAATCTTGTTGTTATCAAATACAACAAACTACTAATTTTACTTCTATAAATTGTTAGATCAGCCCTTACCTCATTTAAACTTTGAAAACTTTTCATTGCGAACTAGTGGATTGGTATAGGCTTGAACCTTTTACGAATATTCCCTGCATATTCTTAAAGTGTATCATTCTTTGGGACATATAAAAAGTCTTCTAGAGGATCAAACCACAACCCCCATAAACAAACTCATCCACAACCTTGTTGGTAGTTTTCTGATTGGTTTCACCCTGACTCCCTGTCAAAAAAGTGAGAATTATCTTTTTCACCGTATTTCCGAGAATTACCAGTCCCATTCACGGGCCCATCAATGTTCAACACTCATCCATAAAGGAACCAACCCACCAAAGAGAAGCGTGAAGAACAACACACCAAGAAAACAACAAATAGCAACGTTCTCTATTTTCACCTAACTCTTCTTTTTCTACACTTTCTTGCTACTTTTTGGCACGAGCGCTACTGTTGTGGTTTCAACTTTGGAATGGAAACCAATGGCACTTGTGATCGTTGTGGCTTCATCATACAAGGTTGTACAATGACATCCATAAAAAGAGGATGGGGATACATTTCGGGGGTGGCGCCACTTGAGGAGGTACACTTTTTTCTCCAAGTTGTTCCTTTAGATTTACATTTTCCGCGATTTCATAGAATATCTCTGCATTCAAATGTTCACTGAAGTATGCTAACTTTATACTATAATTCCTCCACATAATGCATTTTTATTTGCCTTGACAAGTAAACACTCCCTTATTCCTAAATAATCTGCAGAAAACGATAAAGTGAAAGAGAAACACAAGGCAAAAAAGAACAATAAAGCTTGGGCCCCAAAAAATATAATAGCAATAAAATAACTCCCCATACAACTAGTAGTTGTACCTCACTCATGATAAAAATTTTCTTGTTCTTAAATATAGTGAATTATTAACAATGTCACTCAAGGTAAATATAGTGAAATTTTTGTGTTTGCTTACATTTTTTGAGTGTTCACTACCCTTCTTCCTTTTCAACAAATAGCTACAATTACTTATATTAGCGTTGAGTTTATTTTCTACAACTCCACCTTCTAGTAAATTACTTCCTAAATTTGGAGAAGGATGTACCAATTTGTTCAAATCTAACAGATTATTCTGCCCTTTTTTGAGATTGGACCCATGATTTGGAGATGGAACATTCAAGTACCCGGGAACATCTGTAAAAATATGATGCAACGATGGAGGCACTTCATCCAAAAATCATGAGCTGCTCCAACTATGAAGTAGCCCAGCGATGACATGTCCATAACCATAAGACCTCCACTTCCTTATTTCTAGCATAATTCCTCATTTCCTTCAATGTCAACTTTACATTTCTAACAGAAACGCTAAAATTTCCAATCAATTCATTTCCAGGTGGACATAAGCAATAAAAGCCCATCTGGAATTGGTTCGATCCTAGAGCTTCCCGAGACAATCTCTCGAGGTTGACTTAAATGTTCAAGATGCATCGTCAAAATTCCCCATCAGTTGACTTTAAGGTTGACCGAAGCTATTTGGGTCCATCTAATCTGATTTCAAACCTAGCTTTGACCCGAGACAGTTAAGAATGTACTTAGACGTTTGAAATGCATCATCATCGCTAGGGTTTGGAAAAGTATCATCAAATTATTCTTAAAAAATAATGTCATTAATTGAGAAATTAAACTTCTAAAATTTCATTGAAAATTATAGATGTTTTTTTTCAAATGTTGCGGTCATGTGTAGGACATAAAAAATATGTTGTGGTCATGTGTAGTACGTAAAAAGTATGCTGATTTCATGTGTAGGACTTAAAAAAATGTTGCGGTCAAGTGTAGGACGTTTTCTAAAATTCAACTTGCTTTCTTAGTTTCCTGGTGTTATTGATTTAACTAGAAAGATTAATTTTTTATAAGATATACTAGTCACTGAACTCTAGATTATGAACTTTCATGTCTGAAATGAGAGGCATAGAGAAAATAAATAGAACTAAATAGTTCTTGGATCACATACTTACACCCCTTACTTCATTGAAAAATAGCAATCTTTCCTCAAGGTTCGATCATTTAAAAGATGATTGTTGTATCCATACATGCTATTACTGGTAAAATACACATAATCAACTGATATAACTACCTTACAAATTATTATTTTTTAAATTTAAGGATCTTAATTTTTGTTTCTAACATATGATATCTACAAAATCTAATATTTAAATTTGAACAATCTCAAAAGATAAAGCTATAAAAGAAAAGTAAATGGCAGTTTCCTCCCTATTCCTACTCTGTCTCTCGCTAAATCGTTGATCAATTGCTAAATACTGTTTAAGTCCTACATATGACTGCAACATATCAAGAAAACATTGAGGATTTTTTAATGAAATTTTGGAACATTGATATCCTAACTGATGACATCATTTTTTATGCATCGTTCAATGATATTTTCCGAAACCCTACCCATAATGATGCATTTCAAACACCTAGATACATGTTTGACTATATTGGGTCGGAGTCAGGTTTGGACTCGGGTCAGATGGACCCAAATATCTTTGGTAACCGATAGGGAGTTTTGATGATGCTTCTTGAACAATCAAGTCAACCTTGAGAGATTGTCAAGGGGAAGCTACGAGATCAAACTTGCTTCATATGGACCCTAATTGCTTTAGTCAAACTACGATGAATTAATTAGGAATTATAGCGATTTTTATACAAATTTCAAGTTGACGTCGGGGGAAATGAGCAATTTTGCCTCCAATCAGGAGGCGGTAGTTGAGATGGTTAAGTATATGTCGTCGCCAGGGCTACTTTGTAGTTGGAGCAACTCAAGAATTTTGGATGAAATGTTCGTATTGTTGGACTAGGTTTTACCCATGTCTCCGGGTACTTGAACGTGCCATCAGCGAATTGTGGTTCCAATCTCTCATAAGGGTTTAATAATCGGTTGAGTTCTAATAGATTGCTACATTCTTCCCTGAAGTTAGGAAGCAATTCAGCAAAAGGTGGAGTTGTAGAGCTGAAACTCAATGCTAATACAAGTAATTGTAGTTATTTGTGGAAAAGTAAATAACATAGTGAAGACTCGAATAATGTAAACAAACACCAAAGGTCCACTATATATTTCTTGAGTGATAATGCTAATAATGATGAGGGAAAAAAGACGGCTAGAAAAAACGGGAAAGTGCTCACTTATCAAGGCAATGAAAAAGGATTATGTTGAGGAGTTAGAATACTTCATTCACCAATTCAACATTTGAATGAAAATATATCCAATGAAACAACAGAAAATGCACAACTTGGAGGTACTTGTGTAGCTCCTCAAGTGCAGCCACCCCCAGGATGTATTCCTATCCTCCTCCATGGATGTCATATACACCACCTTATATAACGAAGCAACTAGGATAGTACATTGGGTTCAATTCCAAAATTGAAACCACAGGCAATAGTGCCAGCATCAACAAGTAGAATGAAAGTGGAAAAAAGAAAGAGTGAGGTGAAAACAAAGAAGGTTGCTAGTGTTAGCTTCCTTGGTGTGTTGTTCTTCATGCTTTTGTTTGAATGTATGAGGGAACCATTTATGAGTGGAGATTCTTGTGAGTGGATTTTTTGGTAACATCATGGAAGAGTTTTTAATATTGACGGGTCTATGAATGGGACGGGTTATTTTTGGAAATATTGTGGAATAGATCATTGCTTACATTGTGGCTGGGGAGATCACGGTAAAAGCAATAAAAGAAGTACCAATAAAGCTTTAGATAAGTTTGTTTACGTGGGAAATAGTAGTGATCCTCTTACTACCTCTTTGTACATACCGAGTAATGATAAACTTGTCAACATTTAATAGAACTTGATAATTCAGCCTGTATTTGCAAGTGAGAAAGCCATGACATCTCATCGAAGTGCTAATAAGAAAAATAGTGAGGCAAACCTCACAGTTCATGGAGATTTAGCCATCCTTGAATTTATCGAAGTCTTGCAGCGGGACAAAGGACTTTTTGATCCTAACATAGAAGAAAAAGGCAAATTACAATCCTATTTTTCTGAACAAAGACAAATCTAACTATGTAAAACCAAAAAAGAAAAATACGACAACTTACCTAGGCAAATTAAAGCTTATAACCCCGTGAATCTAGCGTAGAAGGATAGTGGATAAAATTTGGAACACAGCACAACAAGGAAATCTACTCATCACATTTGAAAACAGATACATCTCAAATATCAACCCTAACCAGAAATCAGGAAATAAAATAATTATAATAAAACTGGAATATTTTTTTTTATATAATCTCATATATATAAACACAATAGAAGGAGAATGCTTACCAATCAGATGCACTAACAAATAGAGATTAGAGAGATGTCTGATTTCATATCGGAACATTTGATTTGTGCTCACAAGGACATTTGATTTTATGCCCCTTTGGAGTCAAAAATTAAGGAATCAAACATCTGACTTGATATAGGAACAATTTTTTTCCCTATTAAAATCTAATTATACACAATTTGAAAAGAAGGAAATTTTACCAACAATATTTTTTACAATTAAATTAGGGAAAATGGTAAAATATTACCTTTCTAGTATTGGAAATATTTTAAATACACACTTCGTTATGTGTTAGGTCCAAATATACCCTTTTGATTATACATTGACACAAATTTACGTCAATTTGAACGAAAAACACATGACAAACTCAAAATCAAATAATGCATCTCGAATTTCAAATATTCAATTTTTTTTAGAAACTCATTTCCTCCATTTTGAATTCTTTTCTATGCATCTTCTTTTTAAAAAGAAGCTAATAAGTTATCGTATTCGAATACTAAAATGATTTTTCTTCCTTTCGAATTGAGGATTTTACAAATAAGAAATTATCATGCTTAACCTCTTCTTAAAGTGTCAATATTAATCAAAGAAAATATATTATTCAGATATGTTCTAAGAATTTTAAGCATCCAAAAATCGATGATACCTACGTTCATTAATTTTCTTGTACTTTTATAATAGTAAGAACATGTGGGTACAATGATTAATTATATAGAAAGGGAAAATGTACTACTACCCCTAGACTATGACCGAAATCACAGAGACGCACCTTCACAAAACTAAGATCCTATTTACCCCCTAGACATTTTTTTCTTTTTGTAATTTTGTATATCTTTTTGTCTTACGTGGTATTCAAGTGTCTCTCACGTGCCTCAATTACATGGAGTCATGGAGTGTGTCAGGTAAGACAAATGTTTCACAAAATAACAATAAAACTAAGATTAGGGGGTAATAGGACCTTAGTTTCGTTCAGACGTGTCTCCAAAATTTCGGTCATAGTCTAGGGGGTACTTGTGAATTTCCCCTTTTATAGAAATAAATTTGAAGATTTTTAATGTGCGAGGGGAAAATGCCGAACAATGATGTTGTGTAATGTGCATATTTTATTAACGAAAAAGGTCCTAAAATACCCTCGAATTATTAAAAATAGTACACAACTACCCCTCATCCACCTATTGGCTCAAAAATACCCTTTTCATGCACCTATTGGCTCACAAATACCCTCTCCATCCACCTTCAGGTCCAATTTTAGTCACTACAATGATGGAGCACCATTGAAAATAATTAAATAATCCTTTTAATTATATGGCGCTAAACCATTGGTTGAAATTTATTTAATTATTATAATTTTAAACCTACCAATTACTCACCCATTTTTAACTAAATCCTCCCCAATACTTATTGAATCCGCTAGACCCAATACAAAAACAACCCACTCTTATTTCTTAAGCAAATTGAACCTTTAAAAGAGATAACAGAGCTTCCTATAGGAAACATATAATGTAAATGGAATCGTGATCTCGTAGAAGAAAGACAAGTGACTCGGATTTCAATGTGCAATGGAAAAGAATGAAACATTATCACCAGCTATGCACCAAGAAGTTTATCTTCTGCATAGATTTAGCAGAAATGACTGATTCTCTAAGGGCAAAGAAAACACAATTCTTGCATTGGCTTCATTGATTCCTTGGTTGTATAAAATAGTCAAGTCCAGTGAATTTTCTGCATACATCCATTACCTCCTCAGTGGTGCAGCTTATTCGATAAAATTATTTCTTGGCAAAAAAGGAAATAAAAAGAGAAACTCGCTTGTAGTTTTTTCCTTATAATAAGAGAAATGATCATTTCTTAGCCTAAGTAATTAAGAATGCCAACACCACTTATTTACAGTATATTCCCAAATCCCAATGCAAGTCAATAAGTCTCTACTCAATAACATGAAGTGAAACCCATTCGTCTTTCAAACCGAACTAGTCACTAGTTAAGACCATCATCTTGCAGGTCCAACCCATATCTATCCTACAGAGATTGGGTTCTTTTTGTATTGGGTATGGTGAGTTCAATAAGTATTGGGGCGGGTTTAGTTAAAAATTGGTGGGTAAAGGATAAGTTTAAAATTATATTAAATAATTAAATGTCAACCAATGGTTGAGCTCCACGTAATTAAAGGGATTATTTAATTAGTTTAAATGGTGCTATATTTTTGAAGTGTCTAAAATTGGACCTAAAGATGGATGTGAAAGGCATTTGTGAGTCAATAGGTGGATGAGGAGGGTATTTCAAGTCAATAGGTAGATGAGGGGTATTTGTATACCATTTTCAATACTTCAAGAGTATTTTAAGCCCTTTTCTATTTTATTATTTTTTAGTACAAAAATTTAAAAATAGAGAAGGGATAATGAATAATTATTCCTTAGCCTATGATCGAAATCTCAGAGACACCTAAACTTAACCAAGTTCTTATTACCCCTAATCTAATTTTATTCGTATTTTTGTGCACCTTTTGTACTCATGTGACACTTTCGACCACCCAAGTTGATTGTGTTTGTACACACTCGCCTGTCATGTGTGTATATAAATTTTTTTAATAAAAAAATATATTTTAAATTAAATTAAAAAATATATTTCTTAATTTTTTAAAAATAATATTTGGAAATTTCTTTTAAAAAATAATTTTTAATTTTTTAAAGAAATATATTCCTATTTTTATCTTATATTTAAATTAAGTTAACAATTTTATTTACCTTGTATTGAAACTTTTTATTTTACTTGCAGTCATTTTTCCTCTTTTATTTTTCTATTGAGTTTTTTTTGTCTTTCGTTTTGATTTGATTTCAAATGTCTTGTATTTAAAATAAGTTAATTTTGAACGGACATCGAAATACGTCTATAAATTCAAATAAAACATCAAAATATTAAAACATTAAAATTAAAGGACACCTTTAAATTGTTTTTTAAAAGTACACACAATTTATTAAAAAATAATTAAAAGTGAAAAGATAATAAATCAAAAAACTTAAAGTGAAGAGATTAAAATAAATATTTTACAAAGAAAGAAACAAACTAATGAAATAAATATAAGTTTTATTATCAATAAATATGTGACTAACTAATTACAAAGTAAGCAATTAAAAAATAACATCTGTGCAATTTGTTCATTCATCACTTGCCTTGAAGAGAGTGTGCATTCTCTCTATGACATGTCAGTATTCGTGGTGTATTCTTTTCATTTTAAATTAGTTTAGGTGGGTAATAGAACTCTATTTAAGTTTAGATGTGTCTACAATTTTGGTCATAGTCTAGGAGGTATTTATTCATTTTTTCAATAGAAAATGAATAGGAAAATGAAAATAACAACTCAAAATGGAGGGAATGAGTTGCACAACTGAGTTTCCAAGCAAATTGAGAGTAAATAATTTTATTTTGAGTTTGTCACATGTTTTTCTTTCAAAATTAAGGGTATATTTACATCGAAGTATAATGAAAGGGATATATTTGGACTCAAAGTATAACATGAGGGGTATATTTGGATCAAAAGTAAAACAAAGAATATAGATAAACTATTTCCTTTAGTATAAGGGTATATTTGACCCTTTGCCCATTACATTACTATAATAATTTTTCAGGCCGAAAGTTAGTAATTTACTTTTTATTTTTTTTGTTTTTTATTCAGTTTGACTGTAACCTTGTATATTACTAGTTTTGGGAACACGGGATGCGCGTTTGTCCCATATTACGATATACAATTTGTAGCCAGTATAAAATTGTGAATTAAAATTTATATATTACTCTAGATATACATAATGTTTTTCAGATTATATACATATACTTGTCAAAGGAGTAGATATTATGTCCCAATTTCATGAATTTGTAAACAAACAATTCATTACTATTATCAGCCACTTAATGGGTTGTGGTCCCAACGACAGACGGTTATTGGTGTGGTGGTTTGCCTCCGTTAGATTTTTCAGTTAGGGTCATTTTAGTATTTTTTTCCTTACGTGTTGGACATTAAAACTGTCTTGTTTAAATCATAAACTGTGTCGGTTTACTCAATTTCAGCTTAATAATTTAGTCTGAACTACCCTAATCGATTATTGACCAAAATTAGACAAAATTAGAGCAAAAAGAATAGGAAAGTCTACCAACCTCTCAAGAACAAGCAAAAGGTTTTCTTCAAGTTCGGTACTCGAAATCAAAGGATATCTCTTTAGATTTCGTCACTAGGTATGTTGGATTTCACTAGTGGGTTCCTTGCATCCACTAGGTCCCTACAATTCAGTTAGATTCTTGATTCTTAATATGTTGTTTAGACCTAGGGTTTTCTGACCTTGGGAATTGTTGTAAATTAGTTTTTATAGTATTCTTAATTAAATTATCATGTTTTCTAGAAATGTTGCTTGGTTCCTTGCATGAAACTCAAAACTCTTGTTGTGAAAAAAATTCTTACTTCATGAATAACACTTGCAAGGCTAGTTAAACAAATAAACATTCCTCAGATTTTGAATGTTACATTGTCAGTAGAATTGGCAGCAAGTTGGACTAGGGTTCAGACTGCCCTTATAATCCCATAACTACGTGCCTCTATGGACTATAAGTCCCCCTCTGTATGACATCACATTTAGTGATCACGCCAGTCATACCGTTATACCCATAGCAAGGTACATTTTGTCCTCTTTATAAGGTGTATACATCGGACTTTGGGTTTGGCTTACGTGGCTTTATGTTGATTTATAGTAGCTCCAACAGTCAGACTCTAGTGTATTTGACTAGGTTTTCAATTTATACTTCAGTATTCAGTCTCAGCATGTCATGTTCATAACCAATACTTGTTCATTGCATTCAACTCATTTGTAAGTTAAAAATTCAGTATTTACATTATGTTCATATTATGTCATTGCTTGACTATGCTTTGTCCAACCTATTTATTTGTACATATATTATTTGTATCCTGCATGCAGTACATTCCAAGTACTAACACATCTTTTACGCTACATCCTTTCATGATGAAGGTTCAAGTATTTAGCATCCCAGATCTCACATAGATTTATATCCAGTATTTTCATTGATGAGTCATCATACATTAAGGACAATAGACATATTCTTTTCATATTAAGTCTTTTA